TCCAAGCATATATATGTGCACACACAGACAATTCACGATTTTGTTCTGTATCACCTTATTGTAATAAGCGAATTGACAAATGGCGGGGGTTCACATTTTGGTATTCTAAAACATACATTTTGCAATTTTAACCCTGATGGAAAGTATATACTTTTCTGTATTTCATTAATTCTATATTTCATATCAAATATTAAGAGCATACACAACAAACTTTTGACATAAACAATAAGATAAATATTGACATTGATTAAAACATATCACTAGAATAAAGATTTCACAATAGCTTTGGCAAATTGGGACTATAAAGAAGATAACTGATACAAATTATATATCTAGCTATAGTTTAGTTAATATACTGATTTAACTATTCTATGAATTATTGATAATACTTACTAATTCTCAAAAATATCCACAGTGGCCAAATGGTTAAGGCGTCCGACATTCTGCTACAACTAGCCCTCCACCACTGGGTTGCGGGTTCGAGACCCATGTGAGGCAGTCGCCAGGTACTGGCCGTAGGTCGGTGGTTTTTCTCCGGAAATCCGGCTTCCTCCTCCACCAAAACATGACACGAAAACATAATCCAAGGTTTCAAAATAATAAAAGAAAACAAAGTGTAAAGGAACTTTCTGTATGGTCACGCAGGTAAACATACGTTTTTGAGGTCTTCTCTCACCATATTGCTATCTTATCTATTAGAATTAGCCTGGTATGTGAATATGCTTTGGTACATATTTTTCCTATTTTTCTTCTCTAAAAAGAAAATGTATTCCTATCCGTAACTTGATCTCTTTGGTACGCCTCCAACCAGTCCTGCATTTGAAATACAGACATCAATAAATAACCATATAAAGATCATCCTAACATGTATTTTTTTTAGCAAAATCTGATGACTAGACATCGCTTATTTGCAAGGATCAATAATAGGCTGCAGTATGATTTTAACGCCAGATATCAATTGATCCTAATGGTTTTCATTTGACCGCGAGTTACAGGACTCTTCTTGCATCGGTCCAGTTTCTAAACATCTGAGGAAATGTATTGTGTGAGTAAATAAATTAAATAGAAAACACAATATTTGTAACTGACAGGAATAGAGTTCGCCATCGACAAATTATTCCGCTAGGTGGCGTCTGTGTATTCGTTGGGAATGCCAATATCACTGAGTTTCAGACGCTGGGACAAAGTGCCTTTAACGTTAGGGAACATTCGTTAGTAAACGTATCGAATGGCTCGTCCAGTCTCATCTTCAGTGAAGTTTACATTGGACAAATATTGTAAAATGTTAATCATGCCAAAATAGATTTGTTTCGGTTAGTGATAGCGTAGTGTAGGAATATCTTTCGTATTCATAACAACGATGATGTTTTACACGTGAGGGCAGGATATCAATTTGTTCATATCAGGAACTGATTTGGTCATGGGGTCTTTCTACGTGGATGTCTTATACGATGTCATTGAGTAAATATCAAGTGTGTTACACAATGAGGCTGTGCTTTATTCCGATAATCATTTTCTGATTGAAAGGAGTAAAAGGATTAAAGGACCTGGTCAGTTAGGGGTAGCTTGGAGACAAAACGTAAGTATAACTGGTATGGTAGTCATACATATTGGTGGTAAGTGAAGGTATTCATCGTGATCATTGCTTGTTAAGTGATTGCAAATTGATGTAGTTAAGTGTTTATCAAATACGCTCCGAGTATTAGTAAGAGTTAATGTTTCGCCAGATAGCGAAAATATATCTTTTGCGAATTTAAAAGAATCGCGCGGTTTCTTTGGGGCAATTTTAAGCTGTAAGTGTGTCACTTTCGCGAATACAAAGCAATGAGATAATCCGCTAGAAGAACAACCGTGAATGGTCTTTGATGTCCATAAGCACATGTTACTATTTCAGCATTATGTTGTTGATTTTAGGCTTGACAATGATACTTACTGTATTTCTTTTTTTAAATTATCAACAAATATTCGTGACACATATGAAACAAATAGCCTTAAATTACTTTCTTAACTTGCGGCTTAAGATAGATGATACTATAGTGCTTTCTTCAGACAAACAACGATCGTTTGTACGGGTAATGTATAACTCTTAAAACCTTAAGTAATTCAATGACTACTTCATGATATGGTGATTAACAACGAATTTCTCCTTTCTCTGTATAGTGCTATTATTTAAAACATACCGTATAGCAGAATAGTTCTGCGGGGATGATATTTTCGCAATTTTGCGGATCAATAACGTGATTGCAGAAATATGATAAGCAGAATTTTATAACAAGCGTAAAATAATCTGCGATAATAAACATATATACATAAAGAGTAATGATGTTTGAAGATATCGCACATCTAAAAGTTATGTTTTTCTAACTTGTGGTCTAAAATCGAGAAAATTTAAGCCCGCATAAAAAACCCAGTATACAGTTATTGAAATACATTTTTAATCATATCATAAGACCATATATAAACATCATCTTACTACCAAAAAGCACTATAACAGTGATACAGGAAACGTGTACACTTTATATGAGGAACATCTACTTTCACATGGGGTAATTTTTGTCTTTTGCGCTGCTGTTGCCGCTATGGTCAGTTTGCCTCCAGTTTACGGTTTCCATGACATGTAATGTACAATGTTCTTCATTATATAATAAGTATCAATTAGATAGCCAGGCCGCTGTGCCAAACACTTGATAAGGGTCCCCGTACCACTGCTAAAATCTGTAAATAGGTTTTGTGAACTGTTTATTTCGCCTTGATAATGGATTTAATAAATCAATTCTGAAAAGAAAACAATCACTTGCGGGACATTTATGAGAAAAAATCAAGATGAAATAACAAACAACATATATTCATTACCAGTTTTGTAAGTTTGTCGCTCTAACGAATGAGCTACCTGGTCAATGAAAGTGTCCTGGCCAAACTGTGTTACATTTATATCAGAACGGTAGTTAAGCGGGGGTTACTGTAAGTAGGTAATACCACAATGCAGGTGGACAGGGGTCCTTAATTCTTTGAATTTCCACGCAGGCGGCCGGGGTTCGATCCTCGAAGTCGTCGTACGCATTGATATTCAGAGTCAGTGTTTTTCTCCTGCCCACACAACTCCAACAACCCAGGCGGAGTATAAATTGGTCTGGGGGGATGTTGCGGTATCTGTGCTGTAGCATTAAAGTGAGTTGGCTCTATAAATGATGCCGTTGGAAGCACGGTCCCACTACGTACAGAACACATTACATCTCCAGCACACACGCATGCATACACACATAGGGAGATACTAGCCAGGTGGCATAGGACTAATAGTTAGTGCCTGATAAGGCAGCTCCTGCGAATTCCTCAAAAATTGTATTGATTAATGTAAATGCTAATTGTATTAATTGTATATCTGTGTACTGTAAAGCGCTTTAGAGTGGCTTGTGTCAGTTTGATAGGGCGCTATATCAAATGATGTATATTATTAATTGCTTCTTGATTTCAAAACTTTCCATTAAGGATCAACGTACATTTCATGTTGTGTATCATTCTTGAACTGCATTGGCAGATACATTCAACCAGACATATGGTAGGGAGTGTTCTCCCTAGAGACATTTAAGTATTCGTTTACCGATATACCTTGACAACCGATAACAATTATTCGATATCACTTCAGTATTCAGACACATTTATGCCCACATTACGATGCATGTTGAATTACAGTTCCGGTAAATGAACGAACGCCAATGTTGATGAATTATCATCGTTGTTGTTATTGTTGATTTTAAACAGAAAATGTCCTTCATTGAACATGACTAACCAGTACCAATTTTAAGGATGGTTACCACGTAATTATTGCTTTACTAAAAAAAAACTAAATTAAAGCAAAATTGTTTAGACATGAATATCCATCATCAACTTTCCGTAATTAGTGTGGTCTATGAATGTACTTACTAAATTTTTAAAAAGTTGCTTTCTTAATTACCTTGTATAATCCAGTCAGTATTTTATTACACACTTGTGGACTATTACTCTCCGAGGTTAGCCGTGGACATTGCTGATGAAATATGAGTCCTCGAAGTTTGCCGTGACCTAATAGCTGTTAACATAGTTACATGTCGCACTCAATCTAGCTTTTAATGGTACATGACCATTAGCCGAAACATAAATAAGGGTATATTCCTTGAGCATAAAGGAACTTCGGAATACAATCATATAGTTCTATATTTAAACCTGTCGTTTGATTTCAGCTCTTTAAACGTAGCACAAAAATGAACTTGTTAAACTAGAAAATCTCCTCAATACGATTAAACATTGGTATTAAGAATCATAAAAATTCTATCGAAAGATGTAGTCGTTAAAATAAAAACGGTGAGTTTGACATTACGCCTAGGGGCCGTATGCATGAAACCGTCCTCATGCTGAAACAGATTTTGTGCTCAAGCCTAATTTCTTGTTCCGGTTATAAATTGACAATAAAATCTTATTTTTATTTAACATGATATGACATTTAAGTGAACAAGAAAGTTGGTTTGAGCGCAGAATCCATGCTTGAGCATGAGAACGGTTTCATGATTACGGGCCTTCCTCTCTGTGAAACACGTTTCTCTTAATATAACTGTACTCACTTAAAAAGGCTAATATTTTCAAGAAATTGGGAATGATGTCGATCATGCATTTAAATTATTCTTGATCATTTATTTAAATACTTATCAGCAAATGATACATATGTTGTGATTTATTCCAAGAATTTAATTGCATGTAAATTATTTGAATCTGGTATGATAATGAAAATATTTTTTTTGCAAAACATTGATTAATTGAAATTATGACATCTTTGAAATTCCAGGGATTTGCTCTTGATATACATTTATTCTTTACACCTTAGAAATATGACATATTTCAAGGGTGTAAGGAAGATATGTTTATCGAAAGCAGGACCCTTGGTTTTCGAAGATGACAGTTTAAATACAAAGGCACTGTATCCTCGTATTGATTCATGTTCGTTTTCTTTTTCAGTGTATGGATAGGAATCGTCGACCAATATCTGCCCATGCACTCTTGAACAGATCGTACAAAAGAATATAATAAAGAATTAATGATTGTATTGAAAGGATTTACTCTACTGGCATAGAGTATTTGTAATGATTCGGCGACAACGAACGGATTCACCAGATGCTTCGAACATGCCTTATATATATATATATATCATCATCATGACGGATTGTAGCAAAATATATGAAGTTTGAGTCCATATGAACAATGCGTTTAAAATTATACATAATGGAAAAGGAGTGTATTTGACTTAATCGGGTAGAAGAAAGTGGTTCCTCAATTTTTTCTCCAGATTTTTAGAAGTTGATACAAAACGTAGAGAAATCAGTCGCGCTATCTAAATAGATGGAAAATCGGAGTAGGACAAACGACTCGGACCTTTTGAGGGGATCTGACACCCAATTGGTTGACCTCCTATACCCTCCTGTGCTCATCATTGTAGGAGTAACATTCAATATTCTCATCATCGTAGTCATGCGCACTAGATACTTCAAGGAACAGTCCACTTCCGTTTTCATGACAATGGGAGCAGCCAACGATACAGTGAGCTTCTTGGTTTCTATGTTAACACATTGGTTGTATGTTTCATTTCCGGGAGTTTACAACAAGGAGAAAGCTGGATGGATTTGTAAATTTCTTGACTTTTATGGTTGGGGAAATTGTGATTTGGGAATTTTGATTACTACGTCAATGACGATTGACCGAGCATTCGCGATCAGTTTTCCTCTGCGCATGGCAAGTGGAAACAACGTTAAACGCGCGAAAATTACCGTTGGTATTATGACATTGATTGTAGTAGCTAAAGAGTTCCATTTTCTTATTGGTTCTGAAATGGTCGATCCGGCCCAAACGGAACGTCTCTGCAATGTGTTTACAACGACCGCTTCTTACAAATACTTCTGGGAAAATGTCTGGCCCTGGTTGCATTTCTCCTTTCTTTTAATTTGTTTTGCCATTATGACAATAAGTAACGGTGTTCTTATATACTTCGTGTGGAAATCATCGAACAATTTGGATACAAGTGATACAAAAATTGTAAACAGGACATCTTGCGGATTCAATGGCGCCCCTGGTGCCTCTACTAGTTCACATCAGAAAGTAGACCAAAAATTGCGAACGATTACTCCGATGCTAATTGGAGAGTCATGCGCATTGCTACTTTTGACATTTCCGTTCACAGTTCAAACGTTCTTTTCAGAGTACCATCCTGCTTTCTATCGTAAAATCGAACCAAAGTTGTTATTTTCTGTGACATTTTACATGTTATATACGAACAAATGTATCACATTTATAATATATCTGATAACTGGGTCAAGATTTCGACAAGCTCTTCAAGAGTGCGCCATTATTTGTTTCAAAGGCAAAGGGGCGATTCGAAGAAAAAGATTTCAAGAACACTTCGTTTATAATGTAAATATTATAAGATCTGTATCGGCAGGAAAAGACGATTCAACTCTTTCGATTAAATCATCAAATCACAGAACACGTGGTGAACATACCATGCGTGACGATAAGTCAATCATAGTAACACATTTTTAAACATTGTATGTTGTAACGATCAGTTTGAATAAACTTTTATAAACAAATATGACTTTTATCAGTTCATTTCATTTACATGTACAATTATGAAGATGAAAAATAGTGTGTTTTTTTTTCTATGAACTACAAATGTGTGGAATAACTTACCGGAAAATGTAACATGTGCTTAAAATTTAAACTGTTTCAAAAATGAACTGGACAAACACTGGGAAAATATTGATTTATTATATAACATCAAAGCTAGTTTATGAACTGTAATGTCGTTTCAATAAAAATATATATATATTATTTATAACAATTATCATGTATTGAGTCTGTTGTATAGGAAATTATCCCTTTGAACGTTTTTCGTATTAGCCTTCCTGCTCAAATAGCTAAAGTCCCGGATGAAGGATGCTACAACTTTCGCTTCAATTGTGAACCGTCGGTACTTTCCGTAAACAAGAAAATGGGCGTTTTCGGCAGGTGCCGACGGTTCCCGATTGCTTTGGCTTTCGTTTCATGAAAACTTTAGTCTGTAGAAGCTTTAATAGTGTTGGCTATATGCAAAACAAATATGCATTCAGTCAACTCTATACATTATATGAGTCAAGTAACGGTTGGGGAATCCAAAACGCGGTGGGAATCCTAAAACGTTTTATCGGGTCTGCCAAAAAAAGGACGGGCAAACGAGTGGACGGAAATTAAGACGCCATATCAGCATGCGTTTTCAATTTTATTTTTTAATTAGTGCTAACCAAAATGAAATTAACCGTCAACAGGGGTACAATTTAAATGTATATGTGTTTACTTTTTAAACACCCCATCCTTACGGGACATTGTGAGGAAATTCACTTAGGTCCCATTTTTATCATGCAGGGGCGTAACAAACGGGTTTTCAATGTGTAAGCCCAACGATGAAATGTGCTGCCGAAGGCAACACACCGAAGCGCGTAGCGCGAGGAGGGGGAGGGTATGGGAGGCAGGCGGGGAGCTGTGCTTTTTTCGATATGCATGCAGAAAGTCGCACCGAAGGTGCGAATGCGAGCGCCGAAGGCGCGAATCCATTCTAGGGGGGTACGGGGGCATGCCCTACCGGCTTTTTTTTTTTAGATCTAGAAGCTCTGTTGTGCCATCTGGTTGATTTTTAGATACATTTTTGAGTGTTTTAATTTATTTTACAGACAACATTTTTTGGTTGATTCATTCACTTTCTTGTTGGAAAGCATCGCAAAAATTCAAATGTATTTCAAATGCGAAAGACAGCTCTCCTTTTTTTCTCTACGCCAAAAATGTGTGGATTGTTGGAATTCCTCGAAAATATCCGTTGCGTCATATCTCTTTCCTGATGAATCTAAATTAACTAGATGTTTAAAATGTCGGAGCCAATATAAACAGATTAATTTCAGATTTATTGTTGTTGTGTCCCCCAAACCCTTTTTATATCATCAACATTTCTCAGAACATAAGATGCCGGTGCTCCTATATCGGTGTTTAGATATATGTATAGATCTACATATATATCCAGGAGCCCTACTGAAGATAGACCCAGGACTACTCTTAAAAACATACTTTATAAGTTCATGACGGGGAAAAATGAATGTATCTAACTACGTGTATCTATGATGTGAAATTCTCAAGAGACCTATATAATGTCACAGATAAGCAAAAGCTAGGGGGTCTTACCCCTTCCTATCGATGTGGGTTGTGGGGGTCTCCCCCAGGAGATTTTTTTGTTTTCTAGAACGCCTGAGACGCGTTCTCCCGTGTTCTGGCGTCAGTTTCAATGGCCATTTTAAAGCAAGAAAATATTATTTTCTCCCATTATTTTACAAATATTTTGCTTTTTAATATTTTGTATGTTATTGTCTTTGTCGCCTTTTTATTATTAAAATGATGTGTAAGCCCGGGCTTTTTTGCTACATAGGTTGTTACGCGCCTGTCATGGTTCCATTTGTTCGGTACGGAAAAATATCGCCGGAGTACTTTTCGTAACCGGCGACCAGGTCAAAGGGGGATAACTGCATATATATTTGTGAAACTCAATGTGCTGCTGTTTTTATTTCAATTTGCGCATGGGCTCGACACACTGCGCAAGCCCTGTGTCGCTTGACGATAATTCAACTCCTAATAGAACAATATTTTAGGAACACGCATATTTGATCCCGGCTACATCGCAGAAGTACATCTACTCTATTTTCGTTTTGTCTTCAAGTTCAGACGGAAGGAACCGTTCTCATACAAAACAAAAAACAAAACAAAAACCGATTACTTATCATCGGCTAAGTCCGCGTATTCAGCATCTAAAATCTGTCGTGTGCTAACTCCGGCCAAAGACCTTTGTAACAAACCCTGTGCTCAACGAACCCTGTGCTCCAGCCAATATGTCTGACAGCGACGTCACGGACGTGTCCCTAGAATATGGAATGACTATGGTTTTGAATCAACGCACATCATGTTTATGGCGGGCCACCGAAGCGTGTCTGCTATTAGATCCTATAACAGGTCCTTTTCAACAGAACAAACTAATCTGTCCTCTACACTAGCGTCCGTTGCAAGTGGCGAAGCAGGTCAAATCGTCCCGGCTCGTCGGCCAGTCCTCTCATCGATAGTAACACATGCCGAATGTTCAACGATGAGCTAGTCCTGTTGACACAGTCGATCGACACAAGAATTCAGACAACAGCATCTAGTAAATCGTCATTTGTGCACTTTCAATTTCTATAACCCATCTTGTTGAAAGTCCAACCGCTTCGTGACCTGATGAGCGTAGCCGCTGCATAACCATTGTTTAGCGGTCAGCTATCTCCGCGAACACGGAATAAATTTTTGACTTTTTGCAACAAACATATTTTACAGAGTCTTTTTCTTTCAAATTAAGATCTGCTGTCAAATTTTAAGATAATCAATGCTTATCAAAAACATTCAGATAATAAAAATTCAATTATCAAAAATATGCAAAGTGGAACTATTTGTTTATTACTCAACTGTGTATTTCGTCACCGTTAACAACGCATCACCTTTCCCGCGAAAAAGCTGTTCAATTAATGTTGTTTTCATGACAGTGTTTTGCTTTTTTACGTGAACAAAAAAGACTATTTTTTCTTAATTTCAAATAATAAAAGTGGACGTAATAGAACGTTAATATAAGGTTTGAAATCCATCTTTTTAACATTTATGAGGATATGCAACACAGTTCCGTTCAAACATATTCCCCAAGAGGCGCTAACACGCATCACGGAATATGTTTGAACCGAACTGTGTTGCATACCTTTATAAATGTTGAAAAGATGCATTTCAAACCTGAAATAAAAGAAATCTCATTTTGTCACTGATTTGGAAAAAAATGAAGGCCGTATACTGTTTCCAAATTTTAATTTGATTTTTTGATCGTTTGACATTACTTAAGTGAGTTACAGGAAAACTGGTTTGATCACATAGTCCATGCTTAAGCATGAGAACGGTTTCGTGAATACGGGCTCAAGTGTCGCTTGTCCTGTGTTCGAATTTTAGTGGAATTCTTAGGTAAACATATCCTGTCGCTATTAGTCCCGCATTCAACTCCTACTTGAAGCACTCACTGTCGCTAGTCCAGGGTTCGATTCATAACAGAAGACATTTTGGTACCATAAACATTGTCACCAACGTGTAACCGCTTGAACGTATAAGTAGAAGACAATAGCATGACGTCATGATCGGTAAAATAGTGATACCATCTTGTGACGTCACATACTTGTTGCTAAGCTGCTTAGCAATCGGCGAAGGCGGAGATGATCAGTCTCTCCCCTGATATTTACTTCTTTTGTTTAATTCTTTGATTACCACAATGAATATCAGGTTATTCTTGATATTTGTGGTAATGCTGTGCGCCATGCACCAAGGGCCTGCTGTATATCGGGACCTTACGTGGTAAGTTAGGACCAGACATGGTAAGATTGGATCTTATATGTTTTTCTTTGACTTGACATTACGCAAAGATCTCGGGGAGCTTAAATGAACGTCAATAACCTTTTCAAGTTTACGATTGTGTTGCCATTGAATATTTAAAAATATTCACTCTTAACCTTTTAATATTTTCTCTCTAGCGTGGAGCCCGAGCCAGGATATGCAAACAAAATGTTTTATTATTTCACCGCAAGTGAAATTGAGAAAGTCTGTCCAACGGTTACCGAGCTGACATGGGTAAGGATTACATATTTTTTAATGTTAAAAACTGTCATGAAAAAGTGAACAGTTTTTATTTTACTAATAGTTAAGTAAGATTATGCTTGTGATGATTTTTAACTAATATTACTTCTCATCAATTAATTGAATACCTGATATGTTTTACACGTGTTCATTTCGATTCGTATGATTTTCTTGTGTGTAGTTCGCATTCGTATTAGTAGCCACCAGCTATGCTTTTTTGTTAGCGTCCAGTTGTGACAAAACGGCTTTCTTCTCCGTTGTCCGTATCCTGCGGGTCTTGGACATTGAATGTTTGTATTATACTACTATGACCTAAAAATAATTATGACTTGGTTTATTTTAGCGAATTGGAAATGAGGTATTCTTTAATCTGCTGTGTGTGCTTCTTACCCTGCTGTTGGGCTATGCGCCGTCGGTCGGAAAAATCGTCAAAGAGAAATGGTCAGCCGCCGTGTCAATGCTCCAAGAATGGAGAGCTCGTAAGTAACCAGCGAAGATTAGAATATTAAATAAAGCAGCAGTCTAATGAACGTATCAGTTTACTCACTTTCAGTTCTTGTGCACTGTTTACCTTGTAATTAAGAAATTTTCGAAAATAAATTAACGTTCCTTTTTATGAACCTAGTGTTGTTAAAACTACCTTAACGCGCCATCTTGTGGATGATGCACGTTTGCTAGCTTGGAAACCATTTCAGAATCTTGCATATCTGTGTGCTATGTTTTGATTGATATTAAAGTGAATTGTAATCTTGACAGACTTTCATCTCAGGCAAGCTCTTTGGTCATGTTTAAAGAACGGGAACCACTTTCTATAAGTCTTGTAATTTGTCAGAGTTGTGTGTCAGGAACCAGTCAGATAGTTAACCGTTATTCCCGGGTTCCGTTCTGATAAAATATCAAGACGTACAGAAAGTAATGTTTTGTGTGTTGAAAACTTAAACCTTGGATTTCGGAAATTTGACCTAACAGAAATATTTGTTTGTACAGGTCCTTCCCTCTGCCGTCACTGCGGTACTGCCCCGTGTCAGGTTAAAAGGAGATCATTGCGGAAGCCCTCAGGTACTCGTAAGAAAGACAAGGCGAACTTCGCAAAAAGGTCAAACGTCATGATGTTGTTTTACTATGGACTAGAGTTGTCCGTGGTACTGACCAAGGAGCTGCCATGGAATGACCTGTACTTGGAGAGGAAGCTCGTCCAGCATTTTGAGGAGGAGCCTATGGTGTTGTTCCCAGTGTGCATCCAGCGTCATATCAACTACTGGTACCCTGTCCCTCGCTAGGTATGTACTCTGTTCCTCAACTAGTAATGTGTCCCTCATTTGATTGGTGTTATCTCCCTTTCTATGTCCCTTTCTAAATTGGTACTATATCCCTCCTTATGTACCATGTCCCTTGATAGGTTGGTACTAGGTCCATGCTAAGTATCCTGTCCCTCGCTAGGAACACTGTCACTCACTATGTACTATGTCCCTTGCTAAATAGATACTATATCCCTCTGTAGGTACCATATTCCTCGCTACGTTGGTACTATATCCGTCTCTAGATACCATGTCTCTCGCTACGTTGGTACTATATCCCTCTGTAGGTACTATGTCCCTTACTGGATTGGTACTATATCCCTCTGTAGGTACTATGTCCCTCACTGGATTGGTACTAGATCCCTCTCTAGATACCATGTCCCTCCCTAGGTTGGTGATATATTCCTCTCTAGGTACCATGTCCTCGCTAGGTAGGTTCCTCCGGAAAAATAAAAATAAAATGGGATAGATTGTTATGATTTTGAATAATCAGTTTCATACATATATTTTCAATTAATTTTCCTTATTGCCGAAAATACAATGCATGACAACATATTCTGCAGTGGAGAACGGACAGATTGTGCATAACGTGAACATGATGTTATTTATCTATTTCATGCAGATTCGTTGCGCCGTTCAAAGAGAAGAATGTGAATTGCAGTCGGTGACGGAATAGAAGTTTGAGATTGGCGTCCGAGACTCGATTTTATTTGGGGGGGAGGGTCACGATCCGATCCGAATGGAATGGTGTATGGCCAATATTAATGTTTTACCTTATATTTGTTATATTGAATTGTAACTCTATGGATCTTGACCACTGGTGGTTTCGTGAAGAACTCAATCGATATCTGATGAATTGGCCATTTATAACTTAGCTAGTATTGTCCAGCAGTGGTCCAACTGATAAATTTCGATGGTGTTTGTTTGATTGGTTAGTTGCTAACATGCTTCTATTGGCCATTAGGTAATTTGAGTAGTTGTGGAGTTAGAAAGTTGACCAAATAGCATTGGTCAGTTCGAAGTCGGTTCGCTTTATGTAGATGTTCTCGGTATTTAATACTTTAGCAAGTTAGAACGATGTCGATCTTAACTGTTAATAAGTGTTTTGAGAAAAATTGTCAAATACTCAACGAATACATTGTAGGTCAGCTCAAACCACCATTGGTTCCACGCTGATTGCGCCTATCATTTCGAAAGGTTCTAATTCTGTCATATCTTGAAAGCTATCGGTCCTTTGTACATTTATGCTATGCTTAGTAATTTGGCATATCAAACTTGATTGATTCTGCAATGACCGCTAATGGCACGGTCAGGTGGTGTTGTCGTGGTCAGTTATTCACTAAGTCAAATCGACCTACAGGTTCTGTAAAATTACCAACATGCATAATTCTGTCCATTTTGTGCCGGTCAGTTTTGCTTTTGCGAATTTGTGTAGTAACAATCATGACTTTGTGATTAATAAAATTCTTCAAATTGATTTTCGTGTTCATATTATATTTTTGTGACCATCGTTTTAAACATGTCAAAGCTTCGTAAAAACGTATGAAATGTCATACATTGAAATGAGACTTTGCTTATATTACCGATACCTCGGCCCGTATTCACGAAACCGTTCTCATGCTCAATCATGGATTCTGTGCTCAAACCAACTCTGTTACTCACTTAAATAATGTGACACGCTCAAAAAGTCAAATGTTAACATTGGAAATATACTTCGGCTTTAAAACTCCATATATTCCAAATCTGGCACTGGAACAAGATATTTGGCTTGAGCACAAAATCTGGGTTTGAGCATGAGAACGTTTTACGTGAATACGGCCCCTTGATTTACGGACGTCCTCTAATTTTTGTATGTATCATGGTATATTTTTGAAGAAGCTGATTTATCACTCCGTATTCTACGGATACACTGTCATATCTGACTATATCATGAAGTCCTCATTAAGGTTCGGTATGTGTATATATATATGCATACATGTACAATGTATATTATATAAAAAGTATAGATATTCAACAACACCGTCACGTCCTTAGCACTTTCATCTCATCAAAGAGATTCTTCATATTTATCCTATCAAATATTCCAAGATTAAAAAGAAATACGAAAATCGTAGAGAATAGAGACGAAAGGATATAAATGAAATGAAATTCTCATTACGCAGATTTAATTTCGTTAAGCATTGAATAGTTTATTACAAAATGTAAAAAATATGAAATATCTACATATAATAAAAAAAATGTTTTGGTAAAGAGAGAGAGAGAGAGAGAGAGAGAGAGAGAGAGAGAGAGAGATTTTAGTCTTACTTGTTTCATAATCAAAACTAATTTAAGTTATAACAGACTTACAACAATGTTATATAACAGACTTACAACAATGTTATATAACAATCTTATAACAATGTTATATAACAAACTTATAACAATGTTATATAACAAACTTATAACAATGTTTCCTCAGCTGTATACAATCATATACCTGTACGTAAGAACGAACTTAATTGTTCGACGAGTCATACCTGTTATTTTCAATTTTACTTTAGAGGAGTATCATCCGTGGATATTTATCATACTAATGTTGTATCTTTTTCATTATTTCGAATATTTGCGTAGGACTCATTGGAAACATCAGTTCAATGTAGTCGCAAAATTCAGTAGTTATAGGTACAATTAAGATACACATTCGATACTGGCAGTTCATTCAGTAAAACTGGCGATAAATATTATTCATACATACTTGTTTCATGACTTTGATTCAGGGAGACATTACTATTTGTTTCCGCGAGTCGTATCATATGTTACGAAGTGTGAATTCACATAGAGCTAGAGGAACATGACACGGCGATATGAAAAACAAATAATGTCTTCTCCAAACAAGGGCCATGACAAGATGTTTTAAACCAAAATAGTGAAAAACAAAACAGGAAAAATGAAGAAATATAAAGCAGAGTAACTCAAGCACGAGAGGGAAAAAGATGCATTATTTCAAAGTCATGTGAACATCCCGTTCCGTTCCATTATGCTGTAACAGGGTCGAAGTTTGATATTTTATATGTATCTGTTTATTATTATTTGTGTATTGGTCAAAGTACCGTGCTGATTTTATTATGACGGTGATAAATTTAAGAAGATAGATTACGATCAAATATAAAGTGTCTCGAAAGCCTTTTAAAGCTGAACATTTAAGATATCTGATGTATTTATTTAAATGTGTACTAAAAAGTATTTTACGCATTTAATCGTACGCCAACAAAGAAAAGCAATAGTTGTACAAACAGTCCCATATTAAACGTTTCTTATAATCATACAGTGGTATACAGCGGGCCAATTGTTTAAAACGCCCTAGCAACCTGCAGACGACAACGAGTTCTATTAGATCACTGACGAAGCTCACTAATGTCCCATATTCGACCAGATATATCACACAGTGGGTGAGACAAATTGACATTTAATTCTCACGGTAAATCGTTCTCAAAGTTGACCGAGAACATCGTGTCTTCCGGTCCAGTTGCACGAAGTTAACTAAACATCAAGTATCCAGGCAGCGACATGCCTCCATGAGATTTTTTCCCCAAATAGTTATTGACATATCACATAACAAAAATGAAATCGATCAATTTATTATTTTATGGATCCTTCCATAACTTTATTCCCTTTATATAAGAACCGGAAGATTGATGTCCTGTTTCGTGTGAACTCAACGCCATTTATATTAAATAGACTTGAATATACTAAATGCAAATTTAACTAAACGATTTCCAATATTGAAATGTCATGTATTATTTGAGTACTATAAAGAGTTTAAACTCCAGACAAGCCATAATGATGATTTATTTTCATTTGTACATGTCGTATTCAACAAAGTATATGTCACGTCGTTGCCTCGATTCATAATAATATTTTCGTGGCGATATCTGAAAACATATTTTCATAAGAAAATTATGTTCGATATATTCATCTATTTGGTGATCGGGTGGCGCAGTGGATAGCACATTCGCATTGAACACCAAATGCAAGACGGTCGAGGGTTCGATCCCCAATCGCACACCATAAAAAAGCATGGCTAATAGGCCTTTTCTTTGGGAAATGTTAGGGAAAAACCCGTACAATAGATTAAAAGTTGTAATGGGAAACAACATTACAATCGAGGCTGTATCTTCAAAAGTAACGTGGGTTTCACGCATTGTTCTGAAACTCTGGATTTACACAAGGATCAATTTTAAGACCATTTCTATTGCTTATTTACGTAAATGATATTGTAAACGATGTTAAATCAAAATATAAAATTATGTACAATTGTACTGACGATGTACTGCCGTTTATAAAATTGTTGAAAAGCTTCTTACTTCTTCAATAATCTTAAACAACAAACAACGAGCTTGCAAAAAATGATTTTTAGTCCAAAAAGTGGTTTGCTATTCAATCCTAAGAAATCGTCGGACTGTATATGCAGGAAACGCAATGCGCCTGACCAATCCATCCTTCATAGTAATGTTAAAAAAAGAAATCGCTACCTTATACAAAATTCAAGATGTTCCTTAAGCTTTCGCATCAGACAGAAGGTGGACGGAACAGATTATCTATGGTATAAAGAAAGCTTGCACTAAACTAAACATGTTGCGGAAATCAAAATGTATTGTAGAGCAATCGACTTTCGCTACAAACCATATGTATTCGTCCACAAGAGAATTACTCATTATATATATTAATTATTTCTTTATGCGTACCGTTTCTCCTAAAGTTAGAAGACAGGGGAAATGATGTTCATTTAAAATAAACTAATTGAGATTTTCTTCATTCTCTTGGATTGGAAAGAGCCTGTTGAGCTATTTTTTAAACTGCCAGACCAGGTATACGTACATGCGTTGGCTTATAAGTTGTATGATACCCGCCGACGATTTTTTTTGACAACACAGGAACTTACATACGTCTGCATAAAAAAAGGCTAAAGATATCATAGCTTATAATGTGACTTTCAAAATTGCATGCTCTTAAATATAATATCACCGGTCGTGAAGCGAGACAAACAGTGTCCATTCGGCTAACCTCTGCCGAAACCCTTCATCATTTGATGTAGGTACAGCGGAATCTGCCGAGATGTGACGAGTGAAACAGTGTCGTAGGACAATCATGTTGTGCATCCATGCTCTATGGTTCACATTGAGTTATCCCCCTTACAGCATTTTAACACATTTCCCGAATTAGACGATATTAAATAAACATATAGCTATTATATTTTACAGGGAGAATATACAAATGGTTTATATATATCTGATTGACATTAATAATCAGTAAATAGTTTTTCATTCACACAAAAAAGAAACTTCCGGTGGGTTTTTTCGCGGGAAGTGGGATGTAAACAATAAAATCGCGGGAAAGAGGAAACGAGAGGCGTGGGCTGGAAGCTTGATCCTGACGAACATTTATTGTCTATAACTATTTTGTGAAAAGCAACGATCATGGTCCGCACAAAAGCTGATAGTGGTAGTGCTGCAACGAGGAAAGGTATGATTCGTCGGTGCAAAAAGTAATTACACAGCCGGTGAAAATAAGTGGAGTAGATTATGTGCAAGCACAGTGTCAGAGCTAGGGGCCGCTATAGTTGGGCTTGTAAATCATAATGTGTGCGGTCGTATATCATATATATTTGTTACAAGCCACTGTGGTTCAAGCATGGGAATTTGATAGTATTTTGTCTAGAGAGAAACATAAACAAGTTTGGAAATCTTTCTACTTTCCAGATATTGTCTCGAAAAACTGAGATTCACCAGCTGCCCCCACCAGCTGATTTACAGAAAAATAGTTCTGGAAGTGTAAACAGGCCTAGGGTCGGGATTTCAGATTTTCATTTGTTCAACAGTTGTTCGTTATAAAAATCTTATATACACACTTGGTTATACTGATATGGGTAACAGCACACTTAACAAAGTCAGTGTTATATCCGTACCATACAAACTACATATTTTTTTGCCAAATATGTTCCATATTAGGCATACATTCCTCTGCATTAAAATTTTAGACCACTCTGGTCTCTGTGAAGTATAACATATTGATAAGAAGAAGATACAAATAATGTGTATCGTTTCTCACAAATTTAGCCATCAAATAAAACAAGCCAGCTATATATATACTGGTTCAATTATTATTTAACGTTGACAACCAGTTAACGCGCGCAGATGCCCCAGAATTAATTAAAAGTCTACAGCTGCCAAGTATTCCGACAGCTCTGAAACTTTTGTACACTACATGAAAATTATTACTTAATTCATATCAACAGATTATGTTTGATATGGCACGGATACACTACGTTGGTATATATGGAGCAACTTAAATATCTCTCAGAGTTGCAAAATCTTGGTACTGTATTTTTTTTGTGTGAGGATATAGATGAAACATCCTTTATAGGTTTGCTTAAATTAATGCTTTGATTTTAGTGCACACTTCAGTTTATATACAAATAGAATTTATTAAGATCGAATAATCCATGAATTAATCTGACATTATGAAATATCAATTTTAATTTGTCCGTATTAAATTACAGTTGTAGCTGCCCGAGCCCCGAGGAAGGTGTTAGGCAACAGTGCCAGTGCTGGAGCATCTGCGTCCGGCGATTCTCCTGCAGGTATATATAAAAAATGTGATAGTTATGTCCCCTTGGAGTGAATTGCTTTTCATGGCAGTATTTTCTCTGTGGGATATATATCTGTCTAGTGTCTATTTGTATGCATTTTACTGATAAGTCTCTCACTTAACATTTCGAGTACTGTTCATATGGAGTTACAGGTTTTCAATGCTAATGATCAGGAGTAAACTGCAATTTTGGGGAATTGGGCATAAATATGAACTATTTTCAATTGGGAATGGGCCAGGGCCCATTATCTCCAGAAAAAACACTTGTCAAGTGTAGTTTTTGTTTTGTCTTTTAACAAATAATTAACAAATCTTTCAAACTTAAAACAAAATTAAAGATACAGAAGAAAATTTGTAAGTGCTATTCCATAATTGATTGTATGGGGGAGGCCGGAGACACCTGTATCAATGTTATGTGCGGTGGGGTCAGGATTTCAAATGTCCCTGTCCAAAGCATTGATATTTTAACTAATTTTACAAAACTGTCTGTCAAAATTGATATACAATAGTAAGGTTATATAGTGGAAAGTCACCCGTCAAAATAGGTCACTTTCAGAAAACTGCCTGTCAAAAAGACAGGTGGACGGGTGGCTGGCTATAGCTAATAGCCTTGGTGGGGTTAAAACTCCTCCCGGGATGGTTAATTCTGGAACAGCCCTTAGTCAATCTTGATACTTGTCACTCAAAGGAAGAATCTGAAGGCTTCAATTATCATTTTACAAAATACAAATATGTACATGATAAAGTTTAAATAAAGTTTTGCTGTTGAGAACATTTTTTTTTTTTTTTTAAATTTTAATAGGTAAAGGAAAGTATGCAGGAGGCAACCCAGCTTGTGCAAGACCAACACCAGACTGGCAAAAAGGGATCGGTATGTTCTTAAAAAAGTCACCAAGTAAATCAACAGATGGAACAGAAAAAGAGAATTCCGACCCAACTGAGATAGAAGAGGAGGAAGTTGTGGAAGGCAGCAGTAGTTCTGCAGGGTAAGAATGAGGAGAATTTGACCAATCATAAGCTTGGAGCAAAAACAGTCTTTTCAAAAGCAAATATCCATAGGCTACAGTAAATAAAAGAAGTATTTTGTAATTATTAACTAACTGAAGAAATGTTCCAAACATATCAACTTTCAGATATTAATGAAGCAAGAAAACATTTAGGCCAGACAAAAGAATGTATGTTTCCTGTAACATGTTGGACAAAATTAGGGTAGGTAGGTAGGTAATAAATTATTGTTTAAAAATATTTTAAAATGGTTTGTATAGGAGAGCAGTCTTGTCTTTTAACAGTGCTTCTTTGAAAATTGTCTCGAAAAGTTTAGGGTAGGCACAAACAATTGGGGTAGGTAGTATAGGGTTACTGGAAACACAAAATATGTTTTGCTTGGCTTTGTGTAAAGTTATGATACTCTTGTTCTAACTAACCATATCAATGCATGCCCCTCTGTTTCAACTGATGTTTATAATAACACAATTTGGATTTCCCAAGTTTTTGGCCCAAAGCATCATCGATGCGTCCTAAAAGGACAAAACAGCTGTAGGATGAAGTGTAATTCGTTTTTGTCATACCAGGGGTTTTACCAGGTGTTGATAGGGTCCGGTACAGGGACCCCTTTCCCAATTGAAAAATGACCCGGTATTTTCCCAATTTTAGTCATTATTTTTCCAACTTGAATAAAAAGCATGTTTATACAAGTTTCCAGTCGTTATATCTGCAAAATTCAAAGTATAACCTTCCATGATCCTTCACATACATAAATAACAAAAAAATCAAATTCAATCAAAAAAAACACTGAACATGTATGTGTTTATTTATTGCTTTACATTTTACTGTAAGAAACAGCTTGAGGAAATGTATTGCTATTCACATTGCAGGTTTTATTTTATTTTCCAAACTTATGATATTTTCCCAAACCTGTACATGTGGGAACACTGATGAAATTTCCCAATTTAAGCCAAATGCCGATGATATTTTCCCAATTCCTGCTCAGGGGCCCTTTCCCAAAATAGCTGTCAAAACTCCTACATACTGTATATCTATTACCAAGTTTTTAAGATTCAATCACATGCATGTGTATTAAATACACGTTCATCGTTCATGACAAAATAGTGATATCAGTGTGTCTTTCAATAAAAATTAGAAGTATTATTTCTATGTATTCTGTAACATTTAGTAATCATTTTGAACTGGTTTATTGGGTAATCAACCATTTCACCACTGTAGACCATAATGGACTCATCCAGATAAATGTATGGTAGAGTCTACTAAAGTTACCTAGGGTTGATAGGGTTAAGTAGACACAGTTTTTACTTTACTGATCCTTGATCATCAGACTTCGGCTGTTTAAATCACTGTTTAAAATGAAAAAAAGTTCATGATCTGCAGTTTTATACATTGAATTATAACATTTTTACTTTATATACATTATAATTACCATGGGTGCAAGCTCCTTTAAAAAGGAAACACTCTTATTTTTGAATCACCCTTTTGGTTTTATGTCTAATTTAAATGTTTGAGTTCTCATTTCATTAATTTCAATGGTTATTTCCTTCTTTTTCAGGCCCTCCTCTAGTAATGCTGAAATTGAAGCAGACAGTGATTCATGAAATATTTTGAAGGATCACATGGACTCAAAACACTTTTAAATGTGCAGAGCAGCTTTATACTCGGGGTCAATTGAAATGGCAGCAGCTTTATACTCGGGGTCAATTGAAAAGGCAGCTGGTTGAAACTATGCAAAAGTAGGCGGAGTGAAAAAGATCGAGTGATTGGTCATGTGAAACAAAATCTGTCGGCAAGATTCTGTTCAGCATAGATAATCCTGCCACTTTTGTTCACAATTTTTAAGCGGATTGATGACTGAACAAATTTTTGTGTATAAAATGGCAATCAGTCTCTTGAAACATTGGATGGTGGGATTATGTTTTTTCAATTTCACCAGATCAATATTAACTTAACATCTAAAACCATATCCCATAATTGCCAACATCGCTCTGGCCAAGTGCTGCTATTTTACCTTTATTTGGTCGAAAAGAAATCCAAGATGAGCACCATGTTCTGAAAGTAGTCAAAACATTTCAATTTCTTGTCCAGTTGAAATGAGGAAACAAACATATGTACAGTACAGATCTGGATAGCCCCTTGTATGTATAAAAGTACAAGGAAATATGAGTATTGGAACATGAAGTGGAACATTGTAAACCTATTAACTGGGGGAAAATGTGAAATTAATAATTTCACATCAAAATTTATAGTGCTATCCAATATTTAATTATTTGGAAAGGAGCAAGTTTGTGTTTTTTTGGGGTTTTTTTCTTTTCTTTAAATTGATCCAATTTAATAATATTGGAAAGGTTTACATAAAAAAAATTGATTAGTTATGTTTGTTTAAAATTACAAATACATTAAATTGTCTCATTATTTGTACAATTGATGTTTTAGTCAGCCTGATGTGCAAGATTTTAAATTTGTATCAGAATGTACAAAATGATATATATATATAACATACATGTATGCATGTGAATGTAGGTAAGTTGTGTACATGGATGCTGTCAGTGTATATATGTTTATTGTTAGAATCGGTTAAAAATTTGTTAGAAGGTACGAAAGGGAAAGAAATATAAGATCTAGATGACATACTATTTGAAGTGTTTTATATATAAACATGGGAAGCTAGTTTTGTCCGCAATTATTTGCGGCAAGAAATGTGTGCACAGCATTTAACTGTTATATAGATAATTTGACATTTACCGTTATCCTCATAACAAAATATTTCATTAAAATGAAAAGCTTGATAATATATTACAGAAGAATGTCTGAAACTCATCTGAAGTCTTGTTGTGCATGTAAAATCAATGTACTCAGTCTCTTTAAAATTATCATACTGGGAGATCTTAAATAAATTTAGATTTTTCCAGATCTTTTCCAAAATCAGTTTCTCCACAACAGCTTTGAGGGGGACAGGAGCTGGAAAGATGTGTTTTAAAACTTAAAAGGTCAATTTAAAATAGTTGTCTGGGTGGAAATGCTACATTTTACAATGATACAGATGAAGATCCCCAATAACACTGCCAAAAACTGTTTTCCAGCATTACTACAGCTTTGATAACAAAACAATCATAATTGTTGTACTTGTATGAAAAAATAATAATAATAAATGAAATAAACACACAAGACAACCAAAACAGTGTTCTGAGTGGAATTCGAACCCTGGACCTCAAATTAGAATACTGTCCTTCTTACCGACTGAGCTACCTATGTCAATGGAAGCAAGTTCCCTGGCCAAACTGCTACAGTTGTAGCCAGAATGAATATAAGGGGAGGTTACTGTACATATGAAAAAAGATGTTTCTTCTTTATTGAATGTTATTTTTAAGTTCCGCAACTTCTGTGTGTTGTGTAACGATGAAGATTTAAGTTCGTGTAACTTGTAAAAAACAGTGTCATATACATTTGTATGCCAGTGATATATATGTAGGGCATTTCTGATAAACATGTGTCGTATTATAAATAAAAACATATATTTTAGTTTTGCTTTATTGGTTAAATTTTTGAAAAGATCAGGATTCAGTATATAAAGGGCTTTATGATTTTTTAGAACATTCTTAGACATATAATTAACTTATATATTCTGACTTTTCACATTTTCTCTTTAAACAGGTTCTTGAGTTAGATTTTATAAAATCCACTCGTTGTTTTAATCAAAAGCTGATTTCTTGAATGTTCTTTAAAATTAAGAAGTTTTGTAATTCCAGTGCTAGGATCTTTGAGCTTGGTCATGTGTCATAACCTTGGGCCTGCATATGCCGGCCAGTGATTTTTGCCAAAGCACAGTGTCGTCAGTCTAACTATTTGTTATGAGGCATTATTTGTCTAGTGGTAGGACCCTGGGCTCTTGACCGAAGGGTTGCGAGTTCGACTCTCATCACAGCACTGCCACTGTGTTGTATCTTTGAGCAAGATACTTTACTCCGCTTGTTCCAGTCTACTCAGCTGTAAATGAGTATGTGGTTGGGAAGTGCTAGAATTTTAGAATGCTAGCTGTGAGCGCCGAAATTGCAGCACTGGCTGTATGCTCCCAAGGGAGTTGAGAAAGATATTGGCTGGTTGCAAAGGCCCTATAACCACGGATAATAATAATAAAGCGGTATATAAGAACCTCAAATTAATATTATTATTAAAATCCCAAGATGACCGTCCTGGCCTCCGACTGACCAAGGCATTGTTCCTCGCCTCAAAATTTAACAGGCCGATCTCGAGGCCATTCATGCTTCTGAGAAACAGGACTTTACAGGCCAATGTATTAGATTAAATGTAATGTGGCAGATTTCAATTGTACATAGGATTACAGTCGTCGTCTTAAAGCTTCGCACTGTAGGGAAGAGTGGTAGTTGATGCGATCCCTGGTGGAAGCACACTACTCTCTTTCCTGTTACAGTTCTTACAATATAATATACAATAGACTCTTGCTCCGGTATAATGGTTAAAACTTTTGTTATAAAATTTAATATTTTTTGCCCGAAAGCTGAATTTATGAACATGGGTGCTTTCACACAGTAATTATTAACATTTTCATAATTTGCATAGAAGTTAGTTTGGAGCATTCGAAGCTATACAGATTCTTAAAGGGACAGGGCCTCATAGGGGACACCCCTCCTCCTTATGGGGCAGTCTTATAGTGGAAATAAAGGTCAATTCTTAAAAATCTACCCCTATACTGGTAAGGGATAACAACCAAATTTGGTCTTTAACATTCTGGGGCCAAAACTTACTCCTCCAAAGGTCCATATTTTTGGTTTAAGATACATCATCTGATATATTATTTTCTAATTTGTGCCATTAGTTATTGATATGTTCAGTATAAAACAAATATAACCAGACGAATAACATTTCAGAGAACATTTATTGATATGAATGAATGCGCATTTAAAAAGTTATACATATATAAATTAATAAATACTCTTTACAAGTCGGTAAACGTTTAAACAAAGCAATAAATAGGTGTTCAAAATAATTTTATTATAATAGAAAAATATTGGACAGAAAACTACTTGGACATTTTTGACACATGAATTTGATAATACTTTTTCCTGCTTATGATAATCATACATGAATGACGAAATATACACGTAACAAAAGAAATGAGTCCCAGAGGGCCTGTATTGCTCACCCTGGAAGCATATGTGTATTCTTTTTCTATTCAGCAATTGAATATGAATGAATATTCATTATTTCCAAATAAAAGCCTCTTTTGCTTTCAGCTTTGGGGATCAGCCCTTAACCTTTTTACAATTTTGAATTCCCGCTTCCTTGGAATGTTTCAATGCAGATATGGTTGATATCCATCAAATGATTACAAAGAAGACATCACTTTTAAGTAATATGGCCAAATCAGCCCTTTTTGGCTCAGCCTTCCGAAGAGTCGGTACCAATATGTATTATTTTGAATCCCCTCCACCCGAGAAGACCAAATTGTCTCTTTTGGGTCCCAGCACTCAGCCCCAGGGGGTTATCCTCTCCATTTGTGCAATTATGAACACCGCCTATGGATATTACCTGTGGAATCGGGTTAATTTCTAATCAGCGATTAAGAATCCGTTTGAATGGACGGACGACGGACGCACCGGTATGGTATAAGCTCATCTTGGTCCTTTGGACAAGTTGAGCTAAAAACATATATAAGATACCGCTACAATGAGACAACATTAAAAACTGTTCCATGAATGCCATTAATCTGCTATACATTGTTAATCTAAATTGATTAAAGACTTGAGCAAGCAATACTCCAGAAACACAGTCGGACACTTATGTGAACACAAGATTTATTCGATATATATATATATATGATCTAGTTCGAACTGCTATAACCAATTTAAAATCGCTGGATAATGTTCTCCATCATACTCCTTGGCTGCCAAACTATTTACCCTCCGTGACAATTTAAGGTATTTGAAATCCTGAGAATCCTGTACCTCGGGTCCCACCGCTGCCACCAATTGTAACGTGTGGTTGGGCTCTCGTTCAACCATCGACCATGTTCGTTGTTGCTTAAATATTGTGCGTGTTCCAGGGTTATACCGCATGTGTCAGATTGTCATTTAGGCAGCATTTTCCTCTCATGTCCCTTGGCTACGATAAATGTATGCATTTAATGTCGTGCATTACTAATTTTGCCCGATTTGGTAATACTTGTACTCTTATAAGTGTTGAGTTATTTCAGGATGACATGAATATATGTTTAATCATAAGGTATCGTGAAAAAGACATGACACATCAGAAGAGATTTTCTGGTATTCCTTTACGACCACGGTAACGGTTTTAGTCGACTGCTTTGCTATGTCATGCAAACGAAAGTTTATATAGGCGAAAAACAGGAAACAATAACACAAGTAAAATCATATTTGGTGTGAATCCAGCTGCCGTCGCTGTAGGTCCATTACAGAAATTGCCTCTGCACAGAGATATGCAGATGAGGTAGCCAGAGAGCTGGTAGCCGCACGCTGTTTGATTGTCAGCGGGTAGATCACGAAACTTGGAAAGGGAAGCGGAAAACGAGGTGCCGTCGGAACAACCTCGGATGTATGACACAAGGGCACCTGCAATAAGAGAAATCACAAATCAGTTCTAAAAATATAAATGTTTGCAAAGTTGATTTGATAACGTAAATCAATGCAATCAATCTTAAAAAATGTCCCAAAGGAAATATATAATTACAACGTTGATAATTAATAATGTTCCTTCCAATACAATTTTTATATGCGAGTTAGGCACCCCATAAAAATTTAATTCTACCAAACCATGAAGCCCTTTTCATAAAAAATTCATGTGTAAAGTGAACGTTGGTATTTATCTTTCTTGGTTACCAATCTGAATTTTTTGTTGATAGAGCGCACTTTATCTAAAAATCAAGTAAAAAAATATGCCTTTTTGCCATTCATTTGGAAGTTTTATTCCATTATCTTATGTTTTAGCACGCCTGATCCCTAAAATGTAGAAGAATGTAAAAGAAAATTGTGCACTTCTGCCTTCCATTGTGAATTTTTGTTCAATTTATCTTTCGTTTTGTCCACTAAAATATTCTATTGACGCAGCACACCTTATCCCTAAAACCAAATGGAAAGAAAATTGTGTTATTTTGCCATTCATTACGAATTTTTAGCACCACTTCAATTCTACTAGCAAATATATATGATGATGATGATGCACAAAAATAATATTCAATTCACGTGCAATTTTCTACTCATTATAGGGTCCCCTGTTTGTGATTATTTAGTCGCTTTCGACTACCTGATATGTTTAATGAATATCCTGTAACATCCTTATCAAAGAATATAATTTCATTTTCAAAGTTTTTCATCTTACTATGGACACAAAAAATCAGCGATAGGTTATTAGTCTTATATGGTGGTGAGCTACCAAATGATTCAAATTTTAGGTCACCTGAGACAAAGTCTCAAGTGACCTATTGCGATCGCCTTTTGTCCGGCGTCGTCCGTCGTGCGTCCGTAAACAATTTACATTTTCGACTTCTTCTCCAAAACCCCTGAACCAATTTCAATGAAATTTTGCAGAAACATTCCATGGCCAAACGTCAACCAAAATTGTGAATTATATGGTCCCCAGCTCCCAAGGGCCTGAGGGGCGGGGTTAAAAAGGGTCAAATTGACTATTTCAAAAATACCGGAGTTTATATAGAAAAATCACATTTTGGACCAGCATTTGTTTAATTTCCATTGGAATTAATTTAAACTTGGTTAGCATTATCATTATTGGATAGCAGTTTGATGATATGCACAAATCAGCCAAGACTGAACCCAGGGGCTTATAGGTGGGGCCAAAAAGGGTCGAATTGAAGGAAATTTCAAAAATCTTCTTCTCAAGACCCTGATTTGGTAGAATCAAATACTCTTCATAGATGGAAGGGTCTTAGGGTGCTTTACTAAAATTGTGAATTTCATGACCCTGGGGTCTCACGTTTCCCTCTGGAAAAAGGATAAACTTTACTACAGTTTAATTGTGAATTATATGGTCCCTAGGCCCGAGGAGCGCGGCAAAAAAGGGTTAAATTGACTAAAATTTCAAAAATCTTCTTCTCAAGATCCAGATATGGTAGAATCAAATACTCTTCATTGATGGAAGGGTCTTAAGACGCTTTACCAAAATTTAACTGACTGACAGAACCACTATTTGTACATAGTACGTATACTACCCAGATCTTTCACACTATTTTTGCATTACATGTAGTTCAAGTTACCTTTGTTACAAAATGATTTCTTTTTCATTTGGCAACATCGATAACATCAGTTTTTACATAACTCAGGTGACTGTTAAGGCCCATAGGCCTCTTGTTATATATTCATAAGCGGTTTTGTGTAACGGTGATTCGGAACAAAATGCAAACATTTAAATTAAAGAATCCTTAACTAAACAACTCTTTTCGTAAATGTAAATCATATTTGCACTAAACGTGTATTTCATGATAACACAAAAACACTGCCCGAATTCAAATCTGTATACAGTATTTTGGTGTTTTTAAAAACTTAAATATGATATTTTTCTTTATTTTCAGTTTTCATCATCAACTAGATTGGCCACCATGTTTAGAATATTGAATTATTTAGAAAAAAAATCTACTAGTTTTCTGATTCTAGCCTAAGTTCTCAAAATATGGGGGAGATACTCTAATAATTAATTGCAGCCGGGGACTTCTTCATTGCCACTTAGGGGCTGGTAGCCAGTCTAATCATCATCATCATCATCATCAAATTAAGAAAACAAAATCAATTCAGAAACAAAACTAAAGATTGCTTTTGCAGATCCAATCGCATTTACAAATCCTAAACTAATACAAATGATATATTTCAACACGAGAGAATTGATGAAAAACCTACCTCTGCTTTCTATTTTCTCTATTGAACAATACGTCTCAGCACCACTACAGTTTTTCACATTTGCATTCAACACATTGTCGGTCTCGACGTCGATTCTGGAGTTCCTAAGAGCCTTCCAATTTACTAGGCATGGATTATCCGCACTGGAGGACGCACACGAATAACACATAACGGCGTCTAGTGGAATGAAAAAAGGAAATGTTATTATGCGATGTTTCTTATCTTGCAGACCTTTTGCATGTCTATACACTGCCAAATTCTAAATACTGTAGTATATTATATAAAACAACAGTCTCTCTACGTCTGCGGCATATTGGCATTTGGACTTGATTTCGTGCTTCTCGGCAAACAATAGCATTCCTATATATCAAAAGAGCATGTATAACAATACAATACAATACAATACAACGGTCTTTGCGTATTGCAGAGTTATCTTCTCTTGGGAACAGGTATTGATTGTTACGTCATTGGGCTGTGTGAAAAAATTACGTCGTTTTCTCAAAAATTGATGACGTTTCTCTCATAAACAAGTGACGTAACAATCAATACCTGCTCCCAAGAGAAGATAACTCTGCAATACGCAAAGACGGAGCCTTGACACGTTTGGAGCTTTTACGCACGTAATAAGCATTTTTCTTGATAACTTGAAATTCAGCCACACAGCTACAGCCAACCTCGAGAACTGCTACTTCTTGTCAACAAGCAGTCGACCAGAGACTCTGAGATAGTCGACACTCTGTCTGATAATATGTGGTTGAGTATGTTAGTCTGACAATAACCATTGAGGTCAAGGCTGGTGAAGTATGTTCATTCAAATGTCGTTCCCATTCGTCACCACTCTTTTGGAGCAGGAAGTGTACTTTGGCAATGCATTATTAACTTAATACTTGTAAGTAAATAGTTCAATATGTAATAGATATTCCACGACACGCACCAATCCATTTCCAAGCTATATATAGTCACGATATAGGTATTACAGATTGGTTGTGTTTTTTGTAATAAAATCTGTGACTATACCGGATCAACAATTACGTGGTATGCAGCTGCAGCTATATTAGTTGGAATACATATCAGCTATGAATGCAATGGATGGAGATATGATGTTATCATGATAGTAAGTAGTTACGAAGGTTACACCGACCCTTCCTTTAAGGTATAAATGCTCGAATTGCTTTTTTTGTTATTTCCTTATAAGTTATAGACATAAGTAGAGTCAAATATGTTTTTTTGCAAATGTGATATTTGCTGTTTGATATTATTCAACTTAGGTAATGGATTGTTGTACGGTCGTAAAACAAAAAGTTAACAAAAACACCGACAAAATGTAACATATGTTATTCTTATTTAAGTTCTTCTACTAAACTTATATATGTCCCCAAGTTCCTAATGGAGTGCAATTTGTATACTAAATACTTGTCTATGTCGTGAAATTCTAATTATCTATCCATGTATGCACATACACAATGAACTAAATTACAAATAATCATAATTTACCTACAATTTGTAACACTTTATTTTCAAAAAATACTTCGGCCTTCCTCAGTGACTGTAATCATTGAAGCTTTCAGCCCTAATTCTTTGAAAATTGAATGAATTTTGAATTATTTTATATTTACATGTATGTTTCTCAATACAGAGAATTTCTTTAATTAGTTCATACATTGTTTGTGGAAGTCTCGTTTATTAATTATCTGGGCCTTCAGCTAGATTTTCCAATTAGGGTAAATATAGAAACAACAGATGATACATATACATTACAACATATGAATAACAAAAGATTATACATATGCACAAAAACATGAAACATATGCAAAACTACAGATAATACGTATGCATATCAACCGAATTTACGTATGTGCGCAACAGCAGATACTTCATATAATATTAACATAATAATAATTTGAGGTTCTTATATACCGCTTTATCACAACCTAGTTCGTAGGTCGTCTCAAAGCGGTTCATAAATTATTATCCGTGGTTATAGGGCCTTTGCAGCAAGCTAATATCTTTCTCAACTCCCCGGGGAGCATACAGCTGGTGCTGTCATTTCGGCGCCCATAGCTAGCATTCTACAATTCTACTACTGCCCAACCACGTACTCATGGACAGCTGAGTAGACTCGAACACGCTGAGTAAAGTATCTTGTTCAAAGATGTAACACAGTGTCGTGTCATGACTCGAACCCGCAACCCTTCGGTCACGAGCCCGGCGTTCTACCACTATAGATTACCGTGCCTCATATTCATATCAACAGATAAGACATATGCATAAAAGCACTACAGTAATCAAAACAGTTACGCATTTACAAAAACACATATTTATAATACCCTTATGTATCTTTATGAACAGCAAAGCTCTGTATTATATCTTATCTTCCTTGTCTACAATTGGGTGTTCCTGTAACACGACACTGTCATGTGTGTCTATTTACATACTCTGTATCACTGCAGTGTCTCCTCTGACATTGCCTTTTGTGCATGGACACATAACTAGTCTACGTCTCTCTTGACATTGCTATTTTTCAATATACATATATCCCTATTTAGATCCCGACACTGCCCTAATTTGCTTTCTTAATAATATTATGTACCCATATCCATTGCTATCTCCCTATACACTGTTATATGCCCCCCTTATGTATGTTGTTTCTCTCTTTATACTATCATAAGCCCCCATGTCTATGATGTACCTATCATAACACTGCTATATGCCTTAGTGCGCATGTAGCGCACATCTTTACAATGTTATATCCCCCATGATGTACCATTTTTGAAATTTTCATATTCACCATGTCCTTGCTGTACCCTTCTAAAGTACTGTCATATGCCAATGGTGTGCCCCTCTCGATACTGTCATATGCCAATGGTGTGCCCCTCTCAATACTGTCATATGCTAATGGTGTGCCCCTCTCGATACTGGGATATGCCCATGGGGTGCCCCTCTCGATACTATCATATGCACATTGTGTGCCCCTCTCGATACTGCCATATGACCATTGTGTGCCCCTCTCGATACTGCCATATGACCATTGTGTGCCCCTCTCGATACTGCCATATGACCATTGTGTGCCCCTCTCGATACTGCCATATGACCATTGTGTGCCCCTCTCGATACTGTCATATGCACATGGTGTGCCCCTCTTGATACTGTCATATGTCCATGGTGTGTCCTTCTTGATATTGTCATATGCCAATGGTGTGCCCCTCTCGAAACTGTCATATGTCCATGGTGTGTCCCTCTCGATACTGTCATGTGCCCCTCTCGATGATGTCATAAATCAATGGTGTGCCCCTCTCGATACTGTCATATGCCCATGGTGTGCCTCTCTCAATACTGTCATATGCCCATGGTGTGTCCTTGATATTGTCATATGCCAATAGTGTGCCCCTCTCGAAACTGTCATATGACCATGGTGTGCCCCTCTCAATCATGTCATATGCCCTTGGTGTGCTCCTCTCGATACTGTCATATGCGATACTGTCATATGCCCATGGTGTTCCCCTCTCGATACTGTCATATGTGTCCCTCTCGATACTGTCATATGCCCATGGTGTGCCCCTCTCTATATTGTCATATGCCCTTGGTGTGCCCCTCTCGATACTGTCATATGCCCATGGTGTGACCCTCTCGATACTGTGATATGCCCATGGTGTGCCCCTCTCGATACTGTCATATGCCCATGGTGTGCCCCTTTCGATACTGTCATATGCCCATGGTGTGCCCCTCTCGATACTGTCATATGCCCATGGTGTGCCCCTCTCGATACTGTCATATGCCCATGGTGTGCCCCTCTCGATACTGTCATATGCCCATGGTGTGCCCCTCTCGATACTGTCATATGCCCATGGTGTGCCCCTCTCGATACTGTCATATGCCCATGGTGTGCCCCTCTCGATACTGTCATATGCCCATGGTGTGCCCCTCTCGATACTGTCATATGCCCATGGTGTGCCCCTCTCGATACTGTCATATGCCCATGGTGTGCCCCTCTCGATACTGTCATATGCCCATGGTGTGCCCCTCTCGATACTGTCATATGCCCATGGTGTGCCCCTCTCGATACTGTCATATGCCCATGGTGTGCCCCTCTCGATACTGTCATATGCCCATGGTGTGCCCCTCTCGATACTGTCATATGCCCATGGTGTGCCCCTCTCGATACTGTCATATGCCCATGGTGTGCCCCTCTCGATACTGTCATATGCCCATGGTGTGCCCCTCTCGATACTGTCATATGCCCATGGTGTGTCCCTCTCGATACTGTCATATGCCCATGGTGTGCCCCTCTCGATACTGTCATATGCCCATGGTGTGCCCCTCTCGATACTGTCATATGCCCATGGTGTGCCCCTCTCGATACTGTCATATGCCCATGGTGTGCCCCTCTCGATACTGTCATATGCCAATGGTGTGCCCCTCTCGATACTGTCATATGCCCATGGTGTGCCCCTCTCGATACTGTCATATGCCCATGGTGTGTCCCTCTCGATACTGTCATATGCCCATGGTGTGCCCCTCTCGATATTGTCATATGCCAATGGTGTGCCCCTCTCGATACTGTGATATGCCCATGGTGTGCCCCTCTCGATACTGTCATATAGCCATGGTGTGTCCCTCTCGATACTGTCATATGCCCATGGTGTGCCCCTCTCTATACTGTCATATAGCCATGGTGTGCCCCTCTCGATACTGTCATGTATCCATGGTGTGACCCTCTCGATACTGTCATATGCCCATGGTGTGCCCCTCTCGATACTGTCATATGCGATACTGTCATATGCCCATGGTGTGCCCCTCTCGATATTGTCATATGCCAATGGTGTGCCCCTCTCGATACTGTGATATGCCCATGGTGTGCCCCTCTCTATACTGTCATATAGCCATGGTGTGCCCCTCTCGATACTGTCATTTATCCATGGTGTGCCCCTCTCGATACTGTCATATGTCCATGGTGTGTCACTCTCGATACTGTCATATGCGCATGCTCCCATGTCTTTGTGGTGTCTCTTAACACTTTCATATGCCCAACTGTTCATGCTTAACGCCTCTCGATACTGTCATATGTCCATGCTGTGCCCCTCTTGATACTATCATATTCCCATTGTCTTACAGTACCCCTTTTGACTTTACCATATGCTCCTGTCGCCATGTTGTGTGTCTTTTTACACTGCCATATGTCCCCAATGACCATGCTATACCTCTCTCGACAATGTCATATGCATAGTGTCCATGCTGTGTCCCTTTTGATACTGACATATCTTCTCTACCTGCAACATCTATGCTTCACTATTCTTCACTCTGTTATATGCTCCTATCGCCATGTTGTGTTTCTTTACACTATCCTTTGCCCTAGTGACCCTGCTGTACCCCTCTTTACAATTTCATATGCTCCTATCGCCATGTTGTGTCCCTCGACACACTGTCATAGCCACTATGTCCATACTGTACCCCTTTAGACATTGCCATATACCCCCATGTTTACGTTGTGACCCTCTAACACAGTCATTACTACGTTGGCTATGCGGTACCCCTCTTGATACATCCTCCATATGCATGCCCATGTTGTATTATTTTGTTGATTGATTTTTACGGTTCCATTCATTGTCTTCACAGTTTAGATTGCTTGGTTGGTGTATTGTTATAGGCATTCTCTTGGTAATGTATGTTGGTGCTATTGATTAAGAATAACAAAACATATAGCTATCTATTGATTATTAGGTCAAATTAACCGTAGAATATATATATATATACATATATAACGATAAATAGTTTTAAATGTCCATGTGACGGTAAAAATGTAACTAAAACAAAACACGAAGACTAGTATAATCGGCTAGCGCTTTCGCCCACTTGGGGCTCTTCAAATATATATATATATATATATATATATATATATATATATATCTCGAAACGGACACATAATATGTTTATATGGAAATAATTCCCAAACATCTGTGTAAACAAACTAATCAGACACCATGCACTCTCGTCTAACGTGACACCACTCATATGTACAAAAAATGACATTAACATGAAACGTATTTTGTATTCTCAAAGTGACACTAAAACTATACAACAAAATGCTTGATTTTAATGTAAAACACTTACCTGCAAATCTGCTGATACTCAGTAGAGTAAGTAACACGCAAAACTGTCGTATTTCGAACATGGTTACGTTGTATAAACGGTTAAATGGTGGAACCAGCTTAATACACGTCAACTGACTACCCAACCAGGAAGTTTAAATACGGGTACCGAAGTGCAACCAATCGCACTGAGTATGTCCTATGTCTGTTCGTCTATTGTTACGCTAATATTGGGAGAAGCAGTGGGTTTAAATACACATATGTATGTAATTCAAGAAGAACCGAGGCTCGTTAATGTTAGCTTACCGACCCGTTAACTCAAACGATCCGTTTATTAAAGGATTTGAATTAAATTTAATATTTTTTTTTTTTTTTTATAAAGAAACTTATAAATATCTGTATTTAACATAAAAATGTGTTATGTTTCGTATGAATACAGAAATGTGTCACATAGGCCAATTGTTAAGCAGAGCATGACGTTAGCTCGTGGCTTTTCTTATGGTAATTCCTGAAGTTAAACACACACCCTTCTTCACACAGAATGTACACGGTAAACACGATTGTTTATCGTGACAGGATTATATCCTGCTGATATGAAAGATAGGTTAAGTATTCACCCAACAAAAAAACGAAGATATGATTAAAATGAAATCAAATATTAACTTTATTTATTTTACAACAATCATGAAACAAGTTATTTCAACTTATATTAACCACTCCCGGATGTTAGTGCGTGGGGTCTTACTTATATAATGGGTGAGGAAATTAAACCGGAGTACCCGGAGAAAATGCACGGGTATCGAACCCCGACCGCCTTGGTGAAAGGCGAAAGGTATGGTTAACATGCAATGCATTAATAATTTATCTAAAAGCCTCTATATAAAACTACCAACTTAAATTATTGTTAAACTGCATAAAAAGACTTGATAAACGTAAAAGTATTCAAGTCGAGAAGTGTGCCGACCATACTGTTAAAGACATGTAGTGATATCAAAATCAAAAAATGACGGGAAAGTCCCGAATTGTTCCGATTGACTTTTTTTGGCCTGACGGAAGAGGTAACCATGGAAAACAATAACTCCCGAAAAATGTTACACTATTTGGTAAACAAAACGGCTTGATATTTGTACTATCAACTAAAAATACCCTTCACAGAAGGAGAAAATATGATTTCTTTATGGATTTGATGAAAGAATTGTTCAGTATTTTACATTTCAAATACAAATATCTCTATGTAGGATCTTCATGTCTCTCTATGCATCACATGCTATTTATTATTGAGAATTGCAATATCATTTTACATGAGTCACCATGAAATAGCAATAAAAACATTCGCAAACCTGTAATTCACAGTTGTATAATGAAGCCATTCAACAATCGCATGCGGATAAAGCTTTGCAACATATTAATCTACAGAAACTGAAATAGAACCATGGCATAGTAAATTATCACTAAGAATACGTTATAAAGTATGTAAATATTTCGCAATCCACACCTATTCGTCATCATATGGCTATGTCGGTTATTTCGGACACGCCAGTGGGTACCGGCTTCAAACAAAAAAAAAAAAATTGAGTGATCCGAATTTTGTTCAAATACAGCAAAGGGAAAATTTAACTATTAAAACCTATATGGCGTTATACATATATGTACACATATTGGTAAAACATATATCATATTTTACACAAATATTTCATAAAAGCTGCGCCAGCATAAATCCCGACTACAAGACTGTTGCCAATCTAAGGGACTGATACTTCACCAGCAGAGTTAACATTTTTATATTTATGATAATTACTAAAAATCCGATAAAAAAGTACTTTTATCACATGACTACCCTGTTATGAGTGTTATAACACCCATTACATAAATGTTGTTGCGACCAAATGGAAACTCATGTGAGATCCTCTATAATATACTAAATGTGTTTAAAATTTAAATTTAAAGAAATAAAAATTGCAAAGTTAAAATTTACCGACATCCGTTTTTTTCTTTTTCTTATTCTACATATTTCTTCTTAATAAATCCTTTTTCTCACATTAACATTCCCCAGTCTATCGATTCGCATTTATATTTAGGGCACATTTCATATTTCGTCCACTTCTTGGATTTCCAACCTTTGGTCACTACTATAGGCCTATATCTCCGATAAGTCCTAGAATAACGAAACAGCTTCATGATTCAGTTTAATTCATTCATTTATGGCAACCTGTATCGAATACCAAATGTCATAGGTGCAATCAAATGTGTATGGCTTATTTTTTTATTCATGCAAGTAACATTCCGTCCCCTGTTGCTTATAAAAGGTTTCATTCCCAGTGGCGTAGCATACTGTACATGTATGCTTGTATGCTTAAGCATACACTAAAATGTTACAGAAGATTTTTGTTATCATATATATTTTATTAATTTCTCTCTTTTTTATCATTAATATGGATCGTCCATATCAATCATACAAAAGGAAACATATAAACAAAAAAAGTTCCTTGAACACGTGAGATTGCTTCGATGACCTAACTGATTCGTTTCCACCTATGTTAGAGAGACTCCCCCTTCCATACCCCCCCTCCTCCTTTTCCGGCGCTGCGCGCTTCGGACGCTCGACCCTCGATAAGCATACACCCCGACAACGATTTGCTGCACCACTTGGTTTAGTAAAGGATAGGTAGTTATTAGCTGTTGGGAAAGTGTTAAACTAAATACAAAACAATCAGATTATGCTGTCGCTGGCCTTGGTGTGATTCTACTTCTTTGAATGAAATAATGTGTCCTCCCCCCCCNCATGACTTTAAGTGATCCGAATTTTGTTCAAATACAGCAAAGGGAAAATTTAACTTTTAAAACTTATATGGCGTTATACATATATGTACACATATTGGTATAACATATATCATATTTTACACAAATATTTCATAAAAGCTGCGCCAGCATAAATCCCGACTACAAGACTGTTGCCAATCTAGGGGACTGATACTTCACCAGCAGAGTTAACATTTTTATATTTATGATAATTACTAAAAACCCGATAAAAAAGTACTTTTATCACATGACTACCCTGTTATGAGTGTAATAACACCAATTACATAAATGTTGTTGTGACCGAATGGAAACTCATGTGAGATCCTCTATAATATACTAAATGTGTTTAAAATTTAAATTTAAAGAAATAGAAATTGCAAAGTTAAAATTTACCGACATCCGTTTTTTTCTTTTTCTTATTCTACATATTTCTTCTTAATAAATCCTTTTTCTCACATTAACATCCCCCATTCTATCGATTCGCATTTATATTTAGGGCACATTTCATATTTCGTCCACTTCTTGGATTTCCAACCTTTGGTCACTACTATAGGCCTATATCTCCGATAAGTCCTAGAATAACGAAACAGATTCATGATTCAGTTTAATTCATTCATTTATGGCAACCTGTATCTAATACCAAATGTCATAGGTGCAATCAAATGTGTATGGCTTATTTTTTTATTCATGCAAGTAACATTCCGTCCCCTGTTGCTTATAAAAGGTTTCATTCCCAGTGGCGTAGCATACTGTACATGTATGCTTGTATGCTTAAGCATACACTAAAATGTTACAGAAGATTTTTGTTATCATATATATTTTATTAATTTCTCTCTTTTTTATCATTAATATGGATCGTCCATATCAATCATACAAAAGGAAACATATAAACAAAAAAAGTTCCTTGAACACGTGAGATTGCTTCGATGACCTAACTGATTCGTTTCCACCTATGTTAGAGAGACTCCCCCTTCCATACCCCCCCTCCTCCTTTTCCGGCGCTGCGCGCTTCGGACGCTCGACCCTCGATAAGCATACACCCCGACAACGATTTGCTGCACCACTTGGTTTAGTAAAGGATAGGTAGTTATTAGCTGTTGGGAAAGTGTTAAACTAAATACAAAACAATCAGATTATGCTGTCGCTGGCCTTGGTGTGATTCTACTTCTTTGAATGAAATAATGTGTCCTCCCCCCCCCCCCCCCCCCCCCCCCCCCCCCCCCCCCAC